TCATCATATGATTAGAACATAGTTGAAGGAAAAGGAAAAGGTCGATTCTAATACCCCTTTCCTGGAGCAGACGCTGACGGGAGGGAGATCCCATGCTGCCCCGACACGCTACACGGAGATGACTCGATGATGCATCCCGAGTGCGCGCCTATAGTCATCCCCGCCAACGACCCCTTCTACGCGCAGTTCAACCAGACGTGCATGGAGTTCGTGCGGTCGGTGGGAGACTCCAGCTGTGTTTGGGGTAAGGCTTGGTCTGTCTGTGTCTGTCAGAATAAATAAATAGATAAATAAATAAAATCACCTAGAAATGCTTACCTCTATTCCCCCTTTCACTCCTTTGTTTGCGTCTAACACTATCTCATCCTAGATTAATATATAAATAAAGAAATGAATAGATGTAAAAGAAACACCAGCCACCTTTTTCACTCCATCTTTGCTTACGTCTAACACCATCCTAACCTTGGAGGTCCTCGGGAGCAGATCAACGAGAAGACATCCTATCTGGACGGCTCTGCTGTCTACGGCTTCGAGCAGCCCTTGGTCGATTCCTTGAGAGAGTTTGAGGACGGACTCCTCAAGTTCCAGGTGAGCGAGGGGATATCGGGATCTTAAGTCAAAGGGTATCAGGGGTCCTACGTCTGAGGATATCTGGGTCTTAGGATAAAGGATATTACAGGCCTACGTTTATGGATCTCAGGGTGTTTTAGCTCATCTAAGGATATTGGGGTTCTATCATACCAAGGTCTTATATCTAGGGATATTGGGATCCTATGTCTGAAGATACTGGGATTCTACGTCTAAGGATTTTGGGGTATTCGGTCTAAGGGTTTCAGGTTCTTACATCTAAGGCTATATAAGGATTCGGGGTCCTATGTTTGAGGAAAGTTTATTGTTGAATAGGATGGATTCAACGCTTTATATTGAATCAAGAGGATAAGCAGGTTTTATGATGAATAGATGGGGTATTAAGTGTAACACTAAGAAGGTTTATAGAATTTGATGATGAGTGCATAGAGTATTATGTTTTGTGCTGGGATCTCAGTCTTAATGATGAATAAATAGGGTATTAAGTTTGTTGTTGAACAGAAAAGAAAACGATTAACGGAGATAAACGATAGGACCTTTGATTTTGAAGAGATGTGATATAAGATTTAACGGTGATTAGAAGAAATGGTAAGTTTGATCCTGAATACAAGTAAGTTTTGGTAGTTTAATTGTGGTATAAACTCTTACGATGAAATAGAAATATGAATGATGAAAATAAAGATAATAAAAGTTAATGCATAGGTAAGATTTACATTTATACTGGATATACTAAAAAGAAGGAATAGAAAGTTTGATAATGAATGAAAAGGAGTAAAGAGATTTATGAAGAGTAAAATTGTTTTGAATTGAATGAATAAGCTTGCTGTTTCAGTAGAAATAAAGTTTGAAAATAATTTGATGAGATATATATTCCATTATAATGAATAAATAGATAAATCTGAAAAGAAAGAATTTTAAGCATAAAGCTGAACAGAGGAGATTTAAAGCAATAACGTCTAGGTGAGATATAAAGTTTAATGTTGAACAGATGGAAGATTATATTTAATGGTGTTTAAAGTGGTTATAATGTTTGATGATGAAATAGATGGAGTATACAGGTTTATGCTGAGGATGAACTTTAATGCTGAATAAAAGGACCATAATGCCTAATGCTCATTAAAAAGTATGAAGATCTTATAGACCATCACTTTGTTCCCAAATGACCCCCCCCCCCAATTAAAAAGTATATAAACTGAATAAAATGGTTATAATACTTGATGAGTTTTACACAGGGTGCTTTTCCCCTTCCCTCAGGTCACGAAGGAGGGCGAGGAGCTCGTTCCCGCGAACACAGACATGACCAACGCGTGCAACAAGCAGGAGAAAGCAGATATAGGCCAGTTCTGCTTCAGATCAGGTAAGTCTGGACATGGGACTCATCGCTCCAGTTGTACTCGAGCACGCATGCGCACAGAAACACAAACACACAAACATATACACAATGAAATCAGCAAATAAAATGGTTAAACAAAAAAGAGAAAAATCTCCTCTTAACCGAACATAATCTATAAATGATCATTATGCCCCGCCCTTTGCCCAACGCCCGCAGGAGACAGGAGGCTCAACGAACAGCCCTTGCTTGTCCTCCTCCACGTGGTGTGGGCGCGGCACCACAACCAGCTGGCGAAGGGGCTGAAGGAGCTGAATCCTTACTGGAGCGACGAGAAGCTGTTTCAGGAGGCGCGGCGGATCCTGTCGGCGCAGTTACAGCATGTCACTTACAACGAATACGTGTCCGTCATTTTCGGTGAGGCGAGCCTGTGCTTTTTTTCGTCTTTTTTTTCTTTTTTTTTGACCCTGGAGTTGCTGCCGGGTTAGATTTATCTCTATTTATTCTTTCTTGTTCTTTTTCTCTCCTTTACTATGTCTCTCTCTTTCTCACACACACATATACATACATATATATATGTAT